GCCTAATCTGTGGGATCTAATCGGTCTATTGGAGGTAATTGGCAGCAGGCGGTCTCTCAAGTACCCAGGTCCAATACCATGAAGGGCTTTATGAATGAGTGGCCATTCAGTGAGGACTACTAGTAAATTTGTGTCTAAGTTCCATCAACATTTAATTAATACCTTTTCCTTTCTTTCTGCTACAGCTTGTGATAAGAGTGCACATGTCTGATGACAGCTCAAAGACAATGATGGTAGATGAACGACAGACAGTAAGACAAGTGTTAGACAACTTGATGGACAAATCGCATTGTGGATTTAGCTTAGACTGGTCCTTGGTAGAAACAATCTCTGAATTACAAATGGGTTAGTAATTCAGATTTCTTGACCGTACCAAATTGTTATGGAATTTTTATAATGTACGATCTTGTTTCCTGGTTCACTCTTATTCCTGAGGTGATAACGCCACATTTTAAAAGGTGGCTTATTTTGTCTTATCAATATGGAGTGGGGTGGGTAGGGGGGAAATTACCTTGATCTTATTTAGATTTCAGGGCAATGTGTATATATGTGTGTGCACCTGTGTGCATATGCTCTAGTTTTCTGGGTTGATTTGTGGCAGATTTTGTTTGGAACTTTTTGTAAAGTTCCTTTTATAATTCTGGAAGTCCTGGGTTTGCTAAAACATCTATGTTTTGGTGTTACCACTTTGATTACTTAACCACAAGCTTTCAATATACAATACATAATAGTCAAGGCTTGGTTTTCCTTGGGAAAGATATTAAATTGGATACAGATCAGTGGTGGGTTTCAAAAAATTTCGGAACCTCTTCTGTAGGTGTGGCCTGCTTTCCCGGTCCACTGGTGGAACCCCTTCTAACCGGTTCGGTAGATTTGACGAACCGGTTCTACCGAATAGGTGCGAACTGGTAGGAACCCACCTCTGATACAGATATATTTACATGCTTCATATACCATACTGCTTTTACCTATACACGTTTTATCCACATTGTTATTTAAAAGTCAACAACATATTTATTACAAATGGTTGGTGTTTTTTTTACTTTGAGCCTGTTAAAAAATACCTTTATATGGATAGAACCTTTGCATTATAGCTTCAGTATATAATTTGTTTTTATCTTTTTGTACAGAAGGATTTTTAGTATTCTCCTTAAATATTGGGATGCATTTTTAATAGAAACACATTCCAAATGTGGTACAGTCTGTTGGGTTTTTTAATTATAGTTCATTTCCTTTCATAGAATTAAATTAAATGCATTAAAATTGCATTATTTGCAATAAGAATAATACCTGTAAGATTCCTTTTTTCTGTGCTCTTATATCTGAGTAGTTTTTCCCCTTTTGAAAAACATTTCTTTATATTTTACACAATAATGGAGTGATTCCATTGGTACATAAAAACAAATCTGTATTGATTTTAGATTACAGGATAAAAGATAAAAGTAAGCAAAATCAGAACCATGGAATTGGACTTCATGATTGAAATTGTAGCCTCCTAATTCAGTGAAATAATTATAATTCATTTGTATGCAAAATATATTTGTAGAATATGTTCTCACAAGTAAAAAAGTACATATATTTATTTATGCAGTATAGAAATCATGTAATTGGGAAATAGACTTTTATTTGTCTTTGCTAAATATGAAAGATACATGTTCTTCAATTTTACTTTTTTCTTAATATGCATTGTCATATGACATATTAGGGAAAGGACTTTAGACTATAAAATTAGATGACTTGATTTTGAATTTAAAATGGTTGTTATATTTCTGTAATTATGCAGAGAGGATTTTTGAAGACCATGAAAATTTAGTTGAAAACCTCCTGAACTGGACAAGGGATAGTCAAAACAAGCTCATGTTTGTTGAACGTATAGAAAAATATGCCCTTTTTAAAAATCCCCAAGTAAGTATAATGCTTTTCCATCAATCTTGTATTATTGTCACAGAGCAGAATGAAAATTAAAATACTAAAATAAAACAAAACAAGAAATAATGTTGTATTAAAATTAATGGTGAGATCATCAATGGGTGGAAATAGAGCTTTTTTTTTCTATATTTGAACATCCATTGTGGCTTAAACATCCTTTATGGTGGTTGTTTTTACATGCTTAATACACTAAGATTTATAATTTATTGGGTTCA